CTCCCACACCACTCCCTGCTCACCTTTAAAGAAGACGAACCTCCCATCGTGCCTCTCGTAGGCGGCATCAATGTCCCCAGGGAGGCCCCGCCAGAAGTGCCCGATGGGCATGGGGTAGTTGTCCAGCACCCGGTTGTGCCGGACTCTCCAGAACCACCGTCCCTGGCAGGAAACAAGTGTGTTGGCAGAGAATGGGGAGGACACAGGGCCCAGCCCCAGGGCCTTTGTCCCACCCAGGGATCCCCAGCATCCCCAGGGGAGGGGAAGTCGTGGATCCTGGCAGGTACCTTGAATACAAACATTTCCCCACGCAGCACCGCCACCGTGTCGAAGTTCCCATCGCAGATGTCAGGGCCGTACTGGTCAGGCCGGTCTGGGCTGCCAGGCCTGGGGGGTCGGTCCGGTTTCCCGGGGGGGGGCGGCCTGGGGGGTCTCTGGTCTGGCCTGCCAGGTCTCCGTGGCGTCACGGTAGGCAAAGGTTTGGTGGGCTGAGGGTGCCCGTCCGTGGTACCTGGATGGGGTGGGTGAAAGAAGGGTTGGGGTGATGCAGACCAGCAGCATCCTGCCTCAGTTTCTCCACACATGGGCCCAGCATCCCACCCCTGAGCCGATCACCACCCAGCTCCTCACCGTAGAGCTGCTGGATGCCCTTGAGGTCATCCTCGGGCAGCTGGAAGTTCTCCGTGTCCATCCACTGGTAGAAGGGGGCCATGATTGCACTGGGGTTGCTGGAGTGCTCCAAGCCCAGCGAGTGCCCCAGCTCATGCACGGCCACCAAGAAAAGGTTGTTCCCTAAAGAGAAAGGCAACATCAGCACCATGAGGCGGAGGACACAAGGTGTGGGGTGGGTCCTTGGCCCAGCACCTTGCAATGAGGGTGTTCTGGTGGGAGCTGTTCTCCTGCCCATACCAGGGCATACACCCCCCTGCCCTCAAACAGGCTCCTCCAGTTGCCTTCACCACCTCCTCGGCCCTCAGCTCACCAGATACATCCGTGTTCTCCAGCGTCCAGGGCTCGTCCAAGTCAAAATGCGTGTCCCCCCCCATGCCAGGGCCCGGAAAGTAGGCGTGAGCCAAAAACCCCCCGATGCCATCAAAGGGGGAGCTGTCTCCGTGGAAGCCGGAGGCGAAGAGCACCATGATGTCGGCCTCCTTCTTCCGCTTCTGCCGGATGTCCTCATAGGGCACCTCCCGGAAAGCCAGCGGCGTGGCCTGCTCCCACACCCGGAATGCTCGGCGGACAGCCTCGTACGAGTGGTACCGACCCAGCTTCTCCGTGTAGTTTTGGATGCTGGGGGTACAGAGCTCACTGTGGGCTGGCGCGCGACAGTGCTCACTCCCGGAGGGGGCCCATGGCATTCCACGGACTGGGGGAGTGGGAAGCCCTGCCTGGAAAAGCTTGGTACCTGAAGGTGAGATGAGTCTGGCTCCAGCGCCGCCCTGTCAGCGCGTACCGCTTCCGCCGCATGTTGGACTTCATCCGCGCTCCAAACTGGTCCGGGACCCCACAGCGGGGACGTTTCATCCACCTGCCAGGAGAGCATCAACCAGGGTGAGCCCACCGTGGCCACGGAGGGCAAGGGGGTGTCCTGGCTGCAGGGGAGCAGCCCCCACAAGTGTCCCAGTTCCCACAGGAGATGGCACCCACTTTTCCGGAGGCAGGCAATGCTCTGGGGAAGAGCCAAAGGGCCCGGAGCAGAGCTGCCTGCTGACAGAGCAGGAGGACATGGAGAAACTCACGCCTTGGTCTCCTCATCCAGGACGCCGGTGACGGTGATGCCGTAGAACTTCTGCATCTCAGTGAGGGCCGCAGAGAAGGTCTGAGCCGAGCGCATGGTGGACATGTGCCGGCTGGGCTGTGGCAGGTACCCATAGAGCCGTAGCCATGCCTGCGCCAGGGAGTGAGCAGGAAGGGGGGACATGGGGACACACAGCTCCTTCAGACCCTGGCGGGGCAGCACCTCACCCATTCCCCCCCACCGTGGACCATCTGTGCCTGCACCCAGGCAGGCAGCACAGGCAAGCCAGAGCACGCAAGCAGCAGCTGGGAAACAGGGAAGAGCCCCAACCCTGTTTCATGTAATAGTGGGGGAGATCCTCCAGTTTCAGGGGGGTGCAGAAAGCAGCTGGCAGTGGCCAGAACCCCCAGGTCAACCCAGAATGCCCCTCTATTATGTGGGACAGACCGGTCTGGACTCTTCCTTCCTGCACAACCCCTGCCTCCTCCTGCCTGCTTTAACGTCTCTTTTAAAAACACCACTTTTAATTATTGTATTTTATTTTTTCCATTATTTTTTTCCAAATTTTCCCTTTTTCCCCCTTTTAATTATTTTAAAATATTTTTCCTAATTCTCACTTCATTTTTCATTTTCAAATTTATTCTCTTTTAATTCTTACATTTTATTATTTAATTCTTAATATTTTAATTCTTACATTTTATTTTTTCCTTTTTTTGCAATTATGGTATTTCCCCCTTTAATATTAAAATCTTTTTATTATTATTTTTTCTAAATCCTGCTTAATTTCTCGTTTCCTGATTTATTCTTTTGAATCTTGAATGCTTTCTTTCTGATTTTTTTTCTTTATAATCTTTTACTCATTCATTCTTTTACCCCCATCCCCAGGAGGGGTGGCAGGGCACTGACTTTTATCAAAGGCCCTTTCACCCCCTTCCCCCTACAGCGGCACAAAACTCTTCCTCTCACTTGTCGGATGCTACCCGCTGCCTCCGGGGTGACCCGGACAAGCCTCCTTCCATCCTTCCTTGCCTACACCCAGCCAGCATCCCTGCCTGCACCTGTAAATGACGGCGCTGTGTGCCCGCGCGGTCAGAGGCAGACAGCGCCGTCACCCGCAGGTGCAGGCAGGGATGCAGGCAGGATACAGGCAGGAATGGGGTATCCCACGGGATCTCCCCGCGCCCCTCTCACCTCCGCATCGATGTCCTCTCCAGCCGCCGTCAGCAGCAGCACCAGCAGCACCAGGACCGGCGGGGGGCGCCCGCCCGTCCAGCAGGGGGCGCCGCCACCTCCTGCCATATCGACGCCGGTTCGAGGCTGACCCCCCCCCCCACCGCCACCACCTCGCTACAGACGGCCGCGCGAGGCCAGGCCGGGCCGGGCGGGGCCCCGCGCGGCGGTATCGGAGCTACGCTGCCTTCATAGTCCGTGGCTGGGAGGCTGCGCACGGTGCAGCGGCAGGCGGCTCGGCTGCTCGGCCCTGCGGAGAAGAGCGGGCGCGGCGCGGCTCCGCTCGGCGGGGGGGGGCGCGGCTAATGGCAAGGGGCGTGGCCTATGCAGCGAGGGGCGGGGCTTGGCGCTCTCACATCGACACCTGCTCCCCCGCCCGCCCTCAGCCTCCATCCGGCCCCGCGCCGGCTCTTGCCCGCCCCCTGCTGGACGTTGTCCCCGCCGCTCCGCGCCCCGCTGCAGGCCCCGGCTGAGCATTGACTGGGGAGAAACCGGTTGTGGCCGCGCTGCTTCCGCTGGGCGCGCCCTGGGGACAGACAAAGCTGCCGCTGGGAGAGTGTCCCTTCCCCAGCAGAGAACTCGGGGGTATCCGTGCTCCTTCTCACGGGACCCGCAGTCAGCAACCGGCACAACTTTAACCTGCGGTGCAGACCCCCCCGTGTGCGGGGCTGCACCCCCGGAGCGTGAGCAGGAGGTGGAGGGAGGGGATGCTGCTCCTCTGCTGCTCTCTGGGGGGAACCCCCCTGCAGGCCTGCATCCAGCTCTGCGGTGGGTCTCAGAAAGCTCCAGGAGCAAGGTCCCCAACAGTCTCAAGCTGACAAGCAGGTACTCTGTATTGCGGGGGATAGCTCCTCCTGACGTGTGTCCCCGTATTGCCATGCAGGCCATCCCTATATGGTCACTGGGCACATTACATCATTTTACAGAGAGTTCCCCAGGAGCGTACAAAACCGTGGTGGTGGTCTCTGGGGGTCGTTTACTTCTCCCAACAATCTCCATCAGTGCTGCCAGCCAGCCTTTGACCACCAGCTTCATTAACACTACAGACACAGCAGTCATGCTGTCCTTCCGCTTATCAGCTGGTTTATCTGTGCCCACCCTGGACATCTGCTAGTCCCAGATACTCCCCATCCCCAGGTCCTGTTTTTCTATTCTGCTTTTCTTACACCTTTTGTACTAAGGTCCTAAGGACCTGAAACTATGTCAACTACCTTCAAGCACCGCAGTTATTTTCCATTACAAAGCCATCACACTTAACATTACTTAGAACTGATTACATTTTGTGCTTTTGTGCCTCCTTGTCTCGGGGACAACACGAGAGGGACGTGGAGCTGTTGGAGCGAGTGCAGAGGAGGCCATGGAGATGCTGTGAGGGCTGGAGCAGCTCTGCTCTGGAGCCAGGCTGAGAGAGCTGGGCTGGGGCAGCCTGGAGAAGAGAAGGCTCCTGAAGGGGAGACCTGAGAGCAGCTCCAGTGCCTAAAGGGGAAACCTGGAGAGGGGCTTTGGACAAGGGCCTGTAGGGACAGGACAAGGGGGAATGGCTTTAACCTGACAGAGGGGACACTGAGCTGAGCTCTTAGGCAGAAGCTCTTCCCTGTGAGGGTGCTGAGGCGCTGGCACAGGGTGCCCAGAGAAGCTGTGGCTGCCCCATCCCTGGCAGTGCTCAGGGCCAGGTTGGACACAGGGGCTTGGAGCAACCTGGTCTGGTGGAAGGGGTCCCTGCCTGTGGCAGGGGGTTGGAACTGGGTGAGCAGTTCCACACAAACCAGGCTGGGATTCTGTGATTCTTTCTCCCTTAGCCCCACAGAAACCACCCTGTGCTCAGCTGGTGCACCACAACATCACGTTTATTGAGTCGAGGTCCCTCCGCTTTCTGCACATATAAAATACATTATAAAATGCCATTGTCTGTAAACAGTGAGGGGAGCAGAAAGGCAGGGAAACAGCCACAGCACCTCTGTACCCCTCTGCCTCAGAGGGACTGAGGAGTCCAGTGGCTCCCAGGGTGACAGCCGAAGCTGTGGGACTCCACTTCAGACACAGGACCAAAAGCCAGAGCCACAGAACCCACCAGCTAACAAACACCACTCTATCTTGACAGAGGATGGGCACTGAAAGGCACTGTGCACTGGCAGCTGCTGCTGGTCGCTATGGGAGGTGGTGCTCTGTTCCCCATGACCAGGACGAGTAGTCTGCAGGTGGGGTGCGCACCCTCTTATTCTGCCATCCAGAGGGAGCTGGTCAGGCTGGAGAGGTGGGACAGCACAGACTTCATGGAGTTCAACAGTGCCAAATGCACAGTCGTACACTGAGTCAGGGCAATCCCAAGCACAAACACAGGCTGAGGGAGACTGGACTGAGAGCAGCCCAGAGGAGAAGGACTCAGCGGTGTTGGGTGACAAGAAGCCTGCAGCCTTCACAGCATCCCTCAAACACTCATGCTGTGCTTGCGGCTTTTCTTCCTCTTTCTCCAAGGAAGGGCCACGCCAGGTTTTGCACTGAGATGAGCTGGACCCTCATCACAGATGCAGCAGTAGATACACATGAATTCCTTGCTCCCCCAGGGTTTTAGAAGCCAAGCAAGAAACAAGGAAACTTAAAAGACTGAAAAAGAATCGTTTGCTGTTGAGGTTTAACTCCCCCAGCTGAGCCTTCAGCTGGAGGAACTGCTCAACTCAGCAAAAGCAGTTGTGAAACTATCATCCAGACAGGCAACGGAGGGACAGCTCAGAGCAACACCAGCCACAGAGAGTATAAACCACCAATGGAACGATATAAAATGAATTAATACTGAATTCTTTATCCCCAAAGCATCCCTTAAAACCTACACATGGCCCAGTGCCATTCCCTGGACACCTCCTGGAAGAACAGGATTGGAAATCTGGTGAAGAGCTTTTGCTCTTGCATAGTATCTTTAGTAGGTCCATACAGCAACAGCACCTTCTCCAGCGAGTGAGCAACCCCTGCCAAGGAGAACATTGCACTGGCATGTCCAGGATTGTCCTGATCCCCCAAGAAAGATTCAGGCTGAAGGCAACATCCCACTTAGTAACAGAAAGTGCAGCCCAGGAGGAGGGAGATACAAGAGTAAGGGCAGGAGATGGGCAAGGTGGGCCACAGGGAAGCAGAGTTCCAACCAAGCACTGCACACAAGAGGACTAGGGGAGTGGTGCCCTGTCTGACAAACATGGCTACTAGCTCCATTTATGAAGACACAAGGTCTCCCTCCAGTGTTGGGAGGAGTTGAAGCTGCGGAGAGGAGCCTCACCAGCACGGGGGTACACGGAGGAGGGCAGCACGCCTTGGCAAACCCCAACCGTGGCCCCTTAGTGATGTCTCAGGTAGTGATATCTACCCCGAAGGGCTTGATCTGGACTCCAGGTCTCCTTGTAGTGGTGCTCCGGCTTCACCAGGGAGTCAGGCCTGAGAGGAAGAGTCTGACAGCCTGGTGTGCTAAGATGATGAGATGCAAACTACCACAGGGCTCTGTCAGCCAAGCCCCAGATTACAACGTTCCTCTTGGGTCTTCCCAAGATGATAACCTGTTCTCTTCTAATTTCCCTTTGGTCCTAGGGGAAATCTGCATCCCCTCAGCAGCAGCAGTGTGGTTGAACGTGGAGGAGTCGTCAGGCTGTGAGATCCATGAAGATGGTGTTGGCAGTGGTCTGTCCAAAGATGAAGGCTCCAAGGGTGACCATAAACACCCCATAGCTGACCTGGGCCCACCAGCTGTGAACACAGGACAGGCCTTGTTTACATGGGACCTTCACCCCAATATCCAAGAGGGAATAGAGGAGAGAGGAAGCATGTTCTGTTTACCTGATTGCCCTGGTTTCTTGGATCTCAGAGAGCTTGGCTTGAATCAGGCAGAGCCCTGAAAGGCAGGGGAGTCAAATCAGACCCAGGTGAGGACTGAGCAGAAACCCTACAAGCCAGAGAGCCACAGCACATTGCAGAGCAGAGACTTTGGGCAAAATATTTGGGCTGCTAACTGACCCAACACCACAGTTTTGTCTTCCTCTAAAGACCTCCTAGTTCTTGTGTCTCCATCCTGCTCCCTCCCTCCCCAAGACACAGGGCCAGGAGATCTCCGCTGGCCCCATAGCATCCCCATAGCACCCCCTACCTGGGAAGACAAAAATGAAGCAGGCAGCCAAGCCCCCAATGACAGAGATGACTTTGCCAATGTCAGGGATGAAGAGAGCCAGGAGGAGTGTCAGCAGGAACCAGCTGATGGTCTGAAGCAGGCGCCTCCTCCGCTCCCGGACCACGTCCTCCTCCACTGTCACCCCAGTGTAGCGGAGCCAGAGACCCTCCAAGACAGCCCTGTGGGCACAGACCCATGGCAGGGGGTTTCTCTGTGCTGCCCCTCCTGCCTCCACCAGCCACTTTCCTTGTGCCAGCACTCACCGGCCGCAGAAGTGCAGGATGGGATAGGAAGTCAGCACACAGAGGATGATGAAGGCCCGGGCGAGGGCAACCGGGATGTCGTTGGAGGGGTAGGACATCAAGACATCCTGCTCCACACCAGCTCCAAAGGTCAGGAAGCCACAGACACCTGATGGGATGGGAGCAGTCAGCAGGGGATGGGGACAAGCCTCCTGCATGTATGTTTGAGGGACAAGACTTGGATGAATTTGGAACAGGGCATATTGTAGATGGACTCCCCTCCATTTCTGCTTTGCCCCTCTGCTAACCAAAGAGTCATAGAATCATAGAATGTTTTGTATTGGGAGCGACCTCAAAGCTCATCCAGTTCCAACCCCCTGCCACAGGCAGGGACACCTTCCACCAGAGCAGCTTGCTCCAAGTCCCATCCAAGCTGGCCTTGAGCACTGCCAGGGATGGGGCAGTCACAGCTTCTCTGGGCACCCCGTGCCAGGGCCTTGCCACCTGCACAGGGAAGAAGAGCTCTTCTTCCTAAGAGCTCATCTCAATCTCCCTGCCTCCAGAAGCTCACAGCCCATCCGAGGACCTTGCCACACTCAAAGCACTCCCTCACTTACCAGTGCCCGTGTAGACAAAGAGTGCGATCACCATGGCCGCTGTCACCACTGCCCCCCAGGTCTTTACCTCTGGGTGCTTCATGCTGTTAAAGACAGGCACGCTGCTCACGTGGCACTGCCGGGGACATGGAGAGAGAGCGGGGACACGGACTGAGCCAGAGTCATGAGGTGCCACGCAGGATCCCACTTATGATCCCCAGAAGGTCTGCGTGGTGAGTCCCCCACCCAGACAGCCATGGGGTGGGAAGGGGAGCACCAGGGTTGTGGCCTTACCTGGAACCCAAAGCAGATGGTGGGCACGGCATTGAAGACAGCAGTCCAAGTGGAGGGCCTGGTGGGAGGGAAACACTCACCAGTGAGACAAGGGCCCTCCCCAGTGCCCCAGGGCAGGATCACAGAATCACAGAATCAGCCAGGTTGGAAAAGACCGTCAAGATCAAGTCCAACCGTTCCCCAGCACTGCCAAGGCCACCACTGAACCATGGCACTGAGGGCCCCATCTACATGGTGTGTGGACACTTCCAGGGACGGTGACTCCAGCACTGCCCTGGGCAGCCTGTTCCAATGCCTGAGCACCCTCTGGGGAAGAAATTGTACCTAACACCCAGTCTAAACCTCCTCTGGTGCAGCTTGAGGCTGTTTCCTCTTGTTCCTTGTGAGCAGAGACCAGCCACCTCCTGGCTCCATCCTCCTCTCAGATAACTGCAGAGAGTGACAGTATCCCCCCTGAGCCCACACCCCTTTACTGGGTGTGCTCAGTGATGGGCTCAGTCCTCCCCTGTTACTGCGTGCCCGCCTGCCAGGATAACACCTCTGCAGAGAGCGAGGTTTTCTGGGTCTTGGCACTCACTGCAGACCAGGGCCTTTCACTGAGAGAACCCGTGAAAACTGAGGACTCACAAAATAGAAGTATCAGTAAATAAACAAGGAACTATTTGGGCAGTGCCAAGAACTGGTCTGAACTTTGCCTGCCCTAAAATTCCCACTGCCCGCACTGGGTGCAGAAATGTCCCCACACCAGAAAGGAGGGACAAGCCACAGGGGCTGTGGTGGCCAAAGGAATAACCAAAATCATCCTGAAGTAGGCACAGCCATTGTTTCTGGGCACAAGCACTGCACAGGGAACTCTGAACCCAGCTGTATCAGAGCTAAAAGTCAGTCTGTGCTCCTCAAAACCTGTGATGGAGCTTTGGAGATCTCCAAGAGGACTGTTCCTCCTCCATCACCTCCTGTGAAGCACCCAGTGAGGCAGCCAGTTGGGAGCTGCTGGCAGCGATGTGCAGCATCCCCAGGTGCAGGGATGGGACTTGTGAAGGATTTGTCACCAGCCTCTGCAGCCCTCGCTCCTGCACCCCTGCCTGGCTCTGCAGTGCTGTGATGGCCACCGTCACCACTGTGTTTCTCATGCTCACCTGGTGGGGATCTCCACGGGCACCAGCTCCTTGTCAGGCCAGATGTACTTGATGATGATGACTGCCGTGACATACCAGGTGCCAATCACGCTCAGAGAGCTGCGAGAGGGGACAGGAGGCCGTCAGCATGCTCCCTCCCTGCTCCATGGAGTCTTGTCCCAGCATCTCCAGCCTCATCCTCCTCCCTGCACAGCCACCCCAGCCCTCCCATCAGCACCAGCCCTGATCTCCCTTCCCACGGGAATAGGCCATCCAACATCACCCCTGTCAGAGCGGATGCTGGTACAATTCCGCTGTGCTGGGAGCAGGATCGTTGCCAGCAAGGGGACAGGGGGTTGTTGCTGGGGTTTGGGCAGGAGAAAGAGATGAACGTTAAAGAAGTGACACTCCTCGGTAGTCCTGCTCCAGCTCCAGCAGCCGGGTTACACCCATATGCTTGGTGGGGCTGGCCTGCAGACCCCCATCCCGGGGACCCTTACTGGGTCTGCTTCCTGCTGGATAGCCACCTCCAAAGACAGGATACAATGCAGCTGAAAGCAGCTCCCCTGCACCCTCCAGCGAGCAGAAGGGAGGGACACAATGCCCAGAGTACGACAGTGCGGCCACACAGTGCTCAGCAGCTTCTGTGCTTCCCAGATTAGGAAACAGACGCACAGGAATGTGAAGGAGATGTCCAGCTCCTCAGGGGCTTGTGGCAGGCAGATACAGCACTAGAACCACAGTGTTTCCACTGCCAATCCCCTGGGATGGTGCTTAGATGGATGCTGGCAGACCCCAGCCCCAGAGGGCTCTCCCCACCCACCTGGCGTATTTTTGGAAACCGATCTCCTTGGGGATGGAGAGGGGCAGAATGAGGAGGAAGGCCGTGATGCTGATGGTGAACTTGCGGTCCAGGTACCAGTGGCTGCTCCCAGCTTCCTTGGGCTCCGTCACTAGAGCAGCAATGACTGTGGGGACAACCGGAGCGGTCAGGTTGTCTCCTTCCAGCTGAAGGGACAGCAAGTGGTTGGATTTGTTCCCCCATGGGACACACTTACTCTTGTCTTCCTGGTCTCCGATGATGATGAGGAAAGCGATGCAGGTGCCGAAGGTGTAGACAGCAATGGCCACCTCACACAGCACGCCAGGCACCTTCCCACAGACAGCCCACACCACCTCCTGGTAGGTGCGCTCATTGCTGGCCTGCGAGCAGTACGCCAGGATGACCAAGCCTCCAATGATGAAGATCAGCATGCACTGCAGTGGGGCAGACAAGGAGGGGACACTGAGGCAACAGTGTGATAAGGTCCCAAAGCCACGCCAGGCAGCCACCCCTGGCATACTGAGCATCTCTGGTGCACAGCACCCCAGGGGCCAGGCCCTTCCCCAGCCCCTTCTGGGGCTCCACATGCCGCCCCAGGCCCCGTCTCAGGATGGACAGGGGACTGTCCCTTCACTACCTCTCACCATCTGCAGCGCGATGCCTGCTGCCACACCACCAGCCATGCTGAAGGCAGCAGGGAAGTTGAGCAGCCCAGCCCCAAGGGCAGCATTGACCACAATGAAGACAGCTCCCAGAGCCGATGTGGCCCCCAGACCATTCCCTTGGCTCTCTCCGCCCTTCGGCACAGTCTCCACGCTGGGGCTCTGCAGGAGCCTGGCCCGTTCCCCAGCATCAGCGCTCCACTCCCAGTCCTTGTAGTCACTGTTGATGCTCCCAGTGCCCTGAGCCATTGCCCCTCCCGGGGTGGCACACACGCCACTGTCCACGTCCCTCTAGTGCCCCTGCACCAGGCTCAGCCGGCTGCCTTGAGGAGGGTCCTGCGTCAGTGCCGGCTCCATCAGGCGGGGAAGGCAGTGCACGGGCAGGTTGGTACAGCAGCTGTGTGCGGCTTCACTGCTTCTAGAAGCAAAGAAGGACATGGTAAGTGTTAAAGTACGTTAGCAAGGGACAACCGGAGCATCAGGTGCACACTGGAAATGGGTTCCCCGGGTCTCAGCTCAGTGTCACAGCACACAGGTGTCCTCCTGCCAGCAGAGACACAGCAGAGCTCACCTCTCATTCCCTGAATGCAGGGTGAGGAGATCGCTGCCATCAGATGGCATGGAGACTGAGCTGTGGCTGTGGGGCCTGCGAGCTGCAGCCTTCCTGCGGGCACAAGACCCAGTGTCACGGCTCTTGCTTCCCCATTTCCAGCCCCAATTCCTGCAAGCACTGCAGGAGCCGCAGCGCTCGTGCTCCTGGATAAAGGTCAAGGCTGAGCTCAACTGGGCAAGCCAGGCCTGCTGCATAAGCACCGTGTCACCAAGAGAAGGGCTGGCCTCTTCCAGCGCACCCCATGCTGCCACCAGCATGAGGCGTCTTGGGAGCTTTCGGACCTGACGACCTAGTGCTTCCAGCACCGCAGCCCCCCGGGGCTGGGCAGCCCAGAGCCCGCCCAAACGCCTCCCAGCCGGAGGAGAAAACCTTCACAGCCCGGCAGAACGGGCCCAAGCGGCGGAGGGAAATCTCCTTTCTTTCTCCCGACGTCCCCAAAGATCCCTCAGACCAGCCCGCCTTCTGCCCCTAGGCTTCCCAAACACCGTGCTTGTGCCGGGAACCCTCTTCGGGGAGGGAGGGAACCCCCGCAGGCCTGTGGGGCTCCTGGCCCCGTGGGAAGGCGACGACCCCGGCACACCCCGACCCTGCGAGCCGGCGCCGCTCAGAGGGTGGCTCCGCAGCTCCCCACGGGGCCCGCGCCGGCAGTGCCAGGTCCCGGGGCCGGTGGGGCCACCCCGCGCATGCGGCATCGGGCCCCTGTGCTCCCCGCACCCCCCGCTCCGGTCCCCCCGCGCACCGGCCCCGCTCACGGACCCCGCTCACCGGCAGCTCCGCTCCGCTCCGACCCCGCTCCCGGATCAGCGGCGGCGCAGCGCCAGCCCCGCCCCGCCCCGCCCCGCCCGCGGCCCGCCGGGGATTGGAGCTGCGGCTCCGCCCGCACCGGGAAGTGAGGGCGGGCCCAGGGGGAGGCAGCGCGGCCCCGGGCATGAGCGCGATGCGAGGGCTCGGTGCAGGCCGGGGCGGCCGCAGCACCGGGGACAGCATCAACACGATCAGCACCAGCACGGAAAGCAGTTTATTGCACGAACCGAAGCAAGCGGAGGGGACGGGGCGGCGCAAACCGTCGTCAAACCGACCACGGGGACAGGAGGCTCCGGCGCTCCTCGGGCTGTGGGCGCGGCTCCTCCCGGCTCGGCGCTGGGCAGGAACGAGGGCTGCGCTGCTGAATCATGCCGTCATTCCAAGGAATGTTTGCGGTTCAACTCCCTGCCATGGGCACGGGCACCTTCCACACCTTCCACTAGAGCAGGCAGCTGCAAACCCTGTCCAGCCTGGCCTTGAACACTGCCAGGGATGGGGCAGCCACAAGGTCCCAGTGTGAAGGGAAAGGTGCCTGTCGATGGAGAAATCTAAGACAGACTCAGAGTTTATCCCCGATATTTCAACCCCTGATGAATGAGAAACTCCATCGTGCTCCATGCCCAAGTGCAGCATTGAAAGCCTTTCGGAACTCATAAAACACCTACATCAACCCTGTAGACTTCAGCTCTGTGACACCAGTTCCCACCCTGGGCACTCACAGCCCCCCCACCCCATGTTCTCCGGGCACACATAGGAGCTGCCCTCCCTCTACATGGGATCCTCAGGAGATGAGTGTTTCATTGGCCAGACCAGATCCTCTGCACTGGCTGCCTCTGAGAGGGCACATCTGATGCGTGGCAGGGACAGGATGCCACTGTGATGACAGGATAAAGTCCCAGCTCAATACAGCCATGCATCAGTTTATTTGAGTTAAAAATCAGAGTCCAGGCACCAGGCCTGAGGGACACCCAGCTTAGGACTGCATGGTTTTCCAGTTGTCAGCTCTCAGACCTCACTCACTCAGGATCTTTCCCTCCCGTTTTATAATGTCACCAGCAGTTTGACCAATCCAAGCAGAGAAGAGGGACACCCCACACCCATCATGAAGGTGGACCCCTTGGTTCATGGCTTTGGGGCCCACCAAAGGCCTCTGCTCTTCAGGGAGGTCTGCTGGGGTTGGGACAGGAATGGGAGAGGCAGAGACTGACAGTGGCTTTCAGAAAGAGTTCTTATTGGGAATAGAGGGTGAGCAAGTGTTTCACCTCGGGGTACATGACTGAAGTCAGAACTGGGCAGATTTAGAGGAGGGATGCTGCTCTGCCCCACACACCAATACCACCCCTGTGAGTTACACCTGATTCCCAGATGGAAAGAGCCAAGTAGCGACTGAGCAGATTTGATAACAAGCAGTCCTCAGAGCTTCGGTGCTGCCCAGCCCTGGGTGAGAAGGATGAAGGGGGGTAAAGGAGGATGAAGCCTGTGGGCAGCAGGGACTGTGAGGAGGTCAGAGAAGCAGGTCTGAGCAGCCCTCCCACTCAGCCTCCTATATCCCCTTCCTGCTGCCTCACAAAGCCTTCTCCTGGAGAACTGAGCATGAGGGAGCCTCTGGTGTCTCTGCTGGTAGGACGGCAGTGTGAAGCTGCAGCTTCCTCCAGCTTGTGAGGGTGCTGGGGCTGATGGACAGCAGGGGAAAATGGCTGTGACAAGCAGGAGCCAGCAACGACGTCCCTGCTCCACACTGCAGGGTGGTTTTCACTAGGCTTCTACAACAACTTATCTACAAGGTACATTCAGCAGCGGCGTCGAGTGCTGTGCTTGGAAGTATTCTGCTTTCCTTTCCCTCCCCATCTTCGAATGGTGGGGAAGGGAAAGCCACCAGCTCCAGGGCACACCTGTGTCTTTACTTGGTGACTTGATGGATGGCATGAGCCAGGTACCCTACATTGCCCGATGTAACTCCTGCCACAGATATTCGCCCATCTTTTGTCATATAGATGGAGAACTCCTTGATCAGCCGCTCCACCTGGGGTGAAAGAGCACAGGTCAAACCACAGTGCCAACAGAGGGCAAACTCACAAAGCTTGCCAGAGCTGAGCTCAGCCTGGTGCCAGCAGACATGGCATCCACCTGCTTGGAGCTACTATAGTTGCCCAGAGAGGTGGGGGAATGCACAATCCCTGAAACACTCAAGGCCAGGCTGGATGTGGTTCCGGGCAACCTGATCTAGTTGAAGATGTCCCTGCTCATTGCAGGGGGGTTTGGACTAGAAGAACTTTGAAGGTCCCCTCCAAAGCAAACCATTCTGTGATTCTACGACTCTAATGGGAAGCCAGCATCAAGCCCTGTAAACCAGGAGAGATGCTGCTCAACTCTCTGGCAACACATGAATGCTGCAGATATTCAGCCAGGACAGTCACCTCGCTTGAGCTGACTTTAAGGTCACCTCAGAGTGGCACCAAGTGACTGCTTCCTTTGACAAATAAGCAGGCTATGTTTGCTTTCAACCTCCACAAGCAAAGCAGGGAGCAGAGCGAGGTCTGGGTCCCCATGACACTCCAGTGCCAAGGGCTTGGAGCACGTTCCTCCTGGAGGAAGAACTGCTTACCAGGGCTCAATCTGGCATCTGCAGTCTAGATGTTACTGACAAGGTCTGCAAACGACACCTTGAGTCCACAGGAACTAAGTTTACCTGCTCAGGCTTCAGCCCCGTGAAGCAGAACATGCCGATCTGGTCAGTGATATGCTGCCAGTTGTGGGAGGATCCCTCCTTCTTGAGGTTGGACACCAGCTGAGTCCGCATGCTGATAATTCGGTCAGCCATGCCCTTCACCTCCACGAGCCTGAGAAGCCAACCCAAGAACAAGTCAGCAGGGCTGGGATGCACCCAGCTGGGGAGCTGCATCCTTCTCCTGCTACCTGAAGATGACTGCTATTTATTATTTACTCCATAGCTGTCCGACAATGAGCGCAGGCATCTCTCACTTTTGAAAGGTATGGGTCAGCAGGAGGCCTGATGGCAGCACTGCCCAAACCCAGATAAAATAACACCTGCAGACAGACACAGAGTACAGGGATACCTCCAGGGCAAGTAGACATTCCCTGCTCCAAGGCAACACAGCTAGGAGATGTCTCTGCTTATCCCTGGATCAGGCACAAGCATCAGCCTGCCAATGGAACTGCTACCAGTGAGGCCACAGCACACTGCCAGCCTTTGTTCCGCCAGGCCAGCTGCCCACAGGGACTGACATCAACAGAATGACGCCAGGAAGCAGGCTTAGAGCATGAGGGTTACATTCCTGGGTCCTGTTCCCAGGGCGCTTATGCTTCCACTTCCCCCAACGCCTCAGTCCCTTCCACTGCTTGGATAGGCAGCTCCTGCAGCTCTCAATCCTAAGGGTGCTTTATCCCCTTTTAGTTTTTTCTGTCTTGGCAATACAAGAGAAAACTGTTTGTGTCAGGCAGGACCAACCCCAGCTGATGCCAAGACATGAGCAGCAATGTCTCCAGAGGAAAGGGACAGCACATAGTTCTGACTGGATCCCTGGTTTTGATTGCACCCCTGAAGCTTAGAGCTGCCCAGGACAGCAGCAGGGAGTAAGCACAGCACAGGGCTGTTACAGAGACCTCACATCTTGCTGCTGTGAGCATTAGGGGCTCCCTCTTACCACTCCTTCCGTATGTCAGGGGTGTTGAGAATGATGGAGGCAATGCGGGCTCCATTCAGGGGTGGGTTGGAGTACATGGGACGGATGAGGATCTTCAGCTGTGATTCAACCCTCTTGGCTTCCTCTGCACTGCTGCAGATAATTGTGAAGGCACCGGCACGCTCTCCTGAAAGAGGTGATCAGGTCCCAGACTCAGCCCTTGGATACTCAGGATACTTATCCAAGTGCCACGCAGCTTCAGCAGAGCCCTGCTCTCCAGCAGAGCCTCCACCAGCTCCCAGCAGGTGATCTCCTGTGCCATGATCACTACTGCACAATAAACATGGGCAGCAGAAAGACAGTGGCTGCTAAACCCCAGAGGCAGCCTAGGTGAAGCCATCTCCATGCCAACTGCCCTACTCACCATACAGCCCCATGTTCTTGGCATAGGACTGCGATATGAGGACGTTGATGCCCTGGTCGATGAAGTGCCGCACAGCCCAGGCATCCCGGTTGATGTCCCCACTGGCAAACCCTTGGTAGGCCATGTCAAAGTACACGAGGAGGTTT